TTCATGTACTTTTGATCACTTGCTGAACTTCTCGTGAAATTCAAGCACAAACAATTTACAAAAAAAAAGGAATTTATTTGTATTCGTCATTCACAATAACATGACAACATCTCTGAACTAGAAAATATTGAAGCATTTCGTCGTACATATTCTAAAAAGGAAGTAATTCGTTGGTATACACGTAATTCTTTTCTGTATCGTATACTAAATAATGCATTCCGAATACAGAATATTGATATCTTATTTATGCTTGGGTTCTTCATCGATGATCTATATAATCAACTAGAATATTTATATTCTCAACACTCAAAATCATTCAAATTACCTTCTGTCTTTCATCATGGATAATTTGTGAGAAGAAATGAATTCGATACTAAAATTTAAAAAAATATTGATGGATTTTTGTCCATTAATAGCTTTTTTTTCAACAAGTACAAACCGACAAACAAGTTGCATTAATGTTCGTCGGTAATTCATCATTAAATAATTCAAGTACAGAATCAGTTTTATTTGAAATAACCATTGACACAGAAAGATGTCGGCAGCCGCTAGCAGATATAAAACATATGAGTTACAGGAAGGACGAAGACGAGATGCTTTTTCCAATGGCTACTGTCTTTCGTATTGAATCTGTGAATAGATCGTATCCTGAAGATGTTTGGATAGTTCGCTTAACAATGAACGGAGAAGTAGATGAAGCATTGAATATGTTCGCTAAGAGCATCAAAGCAAAAATCGGTTGGCTAAATAATTTGAATGGATTCGACGGTTTATTAATGAAAATCGAAGATTTTCAGAAAGTTGAACATTTCTTTTTGATGTTACTTAAATACACAGAATTTGGTGATTCATTAATGAAGGTTAAGTATTACTCGAACCTGTCCCTGATTTACAATGAGCTGATGAGCTATGATAAAGCAATATCTTAGGCTGAAAAGGCTCTTCAATTACAATCATCTGACCACAGTCTATTGGCGACTATCTACAATAACCTCAGTCTTCATAATGTAAATAAGGGGAATACTGTTCAAGCCTAGGGGGAAACGGCGGATTTCATACTCCCGGGATTCTCTGGATTCCCATCGTACTCTCAGGATTTCCACTAGTACGCACCAGTGTCAATTCTGGGACTAGAACCGGGTACCAGTGCTACGAGATATATGCTTAACTGATCTATGTTTTATTTATGGAAGTATCCTTAGGTCCTCATGTTCTATAAAATTCCTCCACATGATACAAGACAACCGTATAATAGATGTCCATTCGGAATGGAAGCCTAGCGCCAAGGTTATCACTTTTCAAACACATTATAAGTCCATTTATCCAAAATGAACACAGGACAGTTAGTTTCAGAAACTTAATAAATGATCTCATTGCCTCTCACTATTTAATTATAGATCAGTTTATGTGTCTTAGTTGTTTTGCTTTGTAGATATTTTCTATCAATAAAAAGTTAAAGTCTTTCAAGTGTCAGAAAACGTATTGTGTAGAAAGCTCGAAAAAAAAACATCTCGTAAAAGAAAATCTCGAAAAAAGAAAATCGAAAAAATTAAATCTTGAAATAAAAAATCCTCAAGCTGGCAAATTATGAAAAAAAATCTTGAATTAGTTGCAATATAAGATATCGATTAAGTGATGAAGGAATATATGGACGCGCTCAACGATAAGATACTTCAATTTGCTTTCTTCCTATTATCAGTTAAAAAACCTAACTATATTCGGACCAAGTGATCACCCTTATCACTAAGGTACTAAATTTAAAATATTAGCTGCCAATGACGCACAAAAAAAGTAACGAATAAATATTTTTACATATTTATTTTTATTTTACTGACAAAACAAAGTAAGAGATTCTTATTATGTACATTTCAGTTTTCTGATCGCTCTATCATATTTATTATACCAGTCATAAATTAATTAAAATTCGTTCTTGTAATCAAGTTTTCGGACTATAAGGATATAAGATAACTCGTTGATTTATAACGATTTATTGTATCATTTTGTAAAAATTTATGCATTTCAGTTTTTACATGTATGCAATTAATAGTGTTAAATAAAGATTAAATTTCTACATTATTGTTTTTTTTTTATTGATTTGTATCTTATTGATATAGATGTTCGTTGATATGAAACATAGAATGATTGAACGTAAATTATGACGAATTCTTTTTATTATATAGATTTATTTGTCTTTTCACAATGAACTTTCGTTACAGAATGAATGTTTTCAATGCTAAAATGTAGCGGCAGATTTAAGAGATGTGAGACCAGGACAGAGGAGTGTTTGCCGTCCCTTCCAGAATTTTTTTTACTATTTTTTCTCAGCAAAAACGAACAAAAAACGAGTGTACATTACCTGAGATGAGCTATAAAAAGTAATTTGATTCGACTAGTCGGAATTGTTCATAACAACATCGTCTTTTGTACAGTTCCTTAGATAAAGTCACAGATAAATGACATTGTTACTTTTCTTGCCTTCAAGCATATACTAATAAAAACAAAAAATAGTTACGTAAAAATATCTATTCAAGATAGTGTTTTATCCAAGATAGGGTCAAAAGCATGACACTTCCTAGAATATCAGGTCAATCCTTCCAGGATTCATGGTCATCACATTGTAAATTTCATGATTGTCTCGCTTCCTGAAAACCAATATCTGCCTCTTCAGAATTCCAAATAGTACTCTCGACAGCGAAAACTTGACTAAAACACTGATTCAATGTTATTTAAGAAAAAAAGAAAGAAACACTTAGATCTAACCTTTAAAACTAAAACATACTATTAAATGTTATATTTCCTTTGATTCGACAAATCATTACTTCAAAGAATATTCCATCATTTTCACATAATTTCTTTTTTGAACAAACTGGTATCTATCTTCCATTGATCTATTCTTACGAGAGTAAACATATTTTCATAATCAATATACTTCTGATAAAATATTTAGTTCTCCTTGATAATTCATCATTCTATTAGTATTCTTTATCAATGTAAATATCATTTTGTATACTAATCATTGAAAGCAATGAGTGTCAATTGATTTCTTTGAAAAAAATATTGATCATCATTCATTGTTTAAGACACTGTGAATATTGGCATTGGTGCATTCCCTTCACCTAAACTGTAGTTCACACCCACACTATAATTTATTGATTTTATGGTGAGATTTGAGGATATTACATACGTTTTTCTGAACTCTCTCACAGAAGAAAGTAACGTGATTTTCTAAAAATTTTGATTTTCAAAGTCTTTCAAGCTTCTCTATTAATTTTTGACAGCTATAGTCAATGTTTATCATGCATCACTAAATATGATACGTGAATACAATACTCAAACATGAAAAAGCCCAGAATGCAATCGAAACTATTAAATATCGAGTCATAAAAATAAATCTATACTGGCAGAGAAAACAGCCCAAGATTTTAATTGTGATTCATTAAATTTTTTATCAAAAAATTGAAATTTTTGTTGAATAATTTTTAAGATAAAATTCATATTCATAAAAAATAATTGATCAATATCAATTAAATGTATGTTACCAATATAAAATAAATGAAGATTATTTTCAGTTATATAATGAATCAATGAAAATAAATGAATTAACATTAATATTGATTAATTTCATAAGAATTGTTATTGAACAATTTTAATTCAATAGATTCAAACAAAATTATAAATTAATAAAGTGTTTTTTATTCGTAATCAAGACCTAAATAAAACAAAAAAAAGAATATTTTTATGTCTAAAAAAAATTAGCAAACTTGTCTCAGAATTACGAAGTGAGTGAGTGTTTCTATGGGTGAGGAGAAGAACCATGTCCATAGTCGCAAGCATACTTACACCCTTCAAATTTGTTGTTAACTGCTTCAATACAATTGATCGGTTCGTCAAGTATTCACCATTTATCAATTGCGTTGAACATGGACTAAAGCAAAAGTAAATGCCTCTTGCAAATAACCTTCATGGAATCGGAGAGAAGAACGATCAAAACAAATATTCTTCGTTTTTTGCGTTATCTTTTATGAAACATGTTCTTATCTTTTTTTGCCCGCTCGCACTTGTTTATCTATTTCGACTTCACATAGTCAATAAATGCTGACAAACAACATTTACATTTACGTCGAACAGAAGGTGAGTGAAGCTTGTAGCTTTCTCTAGATGTTTGATAATGAATTCATACGTGTACTTCTTGAACCACTGTAACACTATCCATGTAGGAATAATATTCTGAGAGATAACTCACATAGAGCTCAAAAACGAAAGATATCTTTCATAAAAACGCTTGTCACATCTAAATCTACAAGGTAGTCCAAAAAACGATTTACTCCTTTTTGAAATACTCTTCCTACATGTTTAATATTCTGCTTTTTGATTAAGTGCTTCTTGCAATAGATAGAACTGAGTGAACGTCATTGATTTATTTTCACTTTGATATCGTTCTGCCATAATGTAAGACAGATACATAATTCAATATATATGAAATTTACGTGAAGCGGTGTATCTTCTATGAGAACAAAAACAATATTTCATTAAGGGTTTGCTTATTGCATGAATATCTTAATAATAGTTTAAAATCAGCCATTATTCGAAAGAGTTTATATGTATACTTACATCATAAACTTCAAAAAGTGTAGTGAAAAAATTACAAGTCTGTATCCATATCATTATTGCTTTATTGAATTTCCACAAACAGATTAGTAAAAAAGTAAAGATAGTTTTGTTTCAAAATAGAAGCCATATTTTGTCTCATTATCTTCAATGAATGTGCCATCGAAATAGAAACATTTCTATTTATTAAACAAAGATCCGTGCTTTTGGGTCATCTTATACTGTTATGAAGAAAATCTACTATGGAAAGTGTCGGATACTGGTTAAACCATCAGACTATTTCATACAAAAACATTTCCAATTTTTTCATGAACACTTATTTTGTGAATTGTGCTATGCTAGAAATGTGTTTCGTACGAATATAATTTTTTTACTTAGAGTCATCAATTACCATGAAGTTCGGTCTATATTTATCGAAAAATCGAACACCTGAATGGTATTCTCAATATATCGAATATGATGAAATGAAACGAATGCTTACCGAATCGGTTGCTGAAGCCGAACGATTGATCGACATCAATGATAGATCGGCACGTGAGCAATTTTTTGTTCTTGCCGATGAACAGTTTTTTCAGGTAAGATTGACTCGATATTTGATACTAAAATTGATCAACAAGCAGATGAAATATTCTGTTTCGCATGGATTGGAAATGTTTTATGAGCTACAATGGAATGATTTTTGTATCTAGGCTAGTCATTCTTGTCTGTTCAGAATATATTCGATATCGACTTTACTGTTCATGTGCTGTCAGCACTTATGCATCGACTAACTTCATCAAACATTGGAATATCTAGATTTATCCATTTTGGGAGATAAGCGCGGAACGAAGGAATTGTCTCAGCTTGTTGATCAGTTTTGGCAATCTTTCTGCATGCAACCTATTAATCTGTATTGTTTCTTACCTTATTTTACTAGTTCTGCAAGAAAGAAGCATCGAAAATCAATAATTTCTTTGCTGAAAAACTTGCCGAGTAAGTTGTTATTAAAACTCTTCAGTATATGACATTGATTGCTCTTGTAACAATCTTACAACTGAATACAATGGACAGGCAGATTTAGTTTTTCTAACAAAGACTGATTTATGTACCACTTGGACACAGTGTTTTTTTTCATTTGTAAAAGTTTGGCGAGAGCACGAGGAAACATTCTCTTGATAGTTATTTCATTGTTTACCTTTCGCATCGTACTTGAGTATTGTGTTTGTAGAGCACTGCGACTATTTGAACCTCTTAAAAATGAACTCAAGAATAGTGAACAAAGTCGTCGATCTCGACAGAACATGAATTCAACTGTGTTAGACCTGGATGGTCCAGAAGGCAACCATGACGAAAGAGATAATGGCATGCTTCTTGCTGATTCATCTTCACGAAACACCTTTCGATCATGGCTAGCGCGAACAAAACTTCATAAACCTGTCGAAACGATACGAAAAGTTCGCATGAAGCGAACACGACATCTTAACATCAATAATCTCAAATTAGCATTTAGTGAATTCTATTTGATGTTGGTCCTCTTGAAAAATTATCAAACACTCAATTCGACTGGCTTTCGTAAAATTTTGAAAAAGCACGATAAACTATTTCAAACGACGCGCGGTGATGAATGGCGGTAGGCTTCTTGATTTCTCTTGTACAATCTTGAACAAAAGTAGATACTTTGTCCTCTCTGCAGCACCATTATTTTCCATTATTCTAGATTGGTATTTAGGGTGCGTGCGAGTTTCAGTAAACCATGATTGTCAGCATCACCCCGCCTTCGATCGGCTGATATTCACTGGAGTCATCAGTTCAACATTCTCATATTGAAATTCTAGTTATGAGTTAGAAAAAAAAGGTGGAAAAAACAGTTTTTTAATAGATTGAGTGTGGTTTTGCTAACACGAATAAGCATCATCAATTTTTGTCTCGTCGTCTCAAATAGTACGATATATCAGAAACTCTTTGAAGTCAGCTAAATTATTCTGCAATTAAAGTCTTTGCAACAATAAACCACTTTATGCACCTTCTCATTACTTGTTATTCGCTGAAGAAATTGAAGGAAAACGATATTTCAAAAATGTTTCGTCTGTCTCGCCACATTTCTACGGTTGATTTTTACTTTATTTCATGTGCTACATGATGCTCGATGTGCCTGACTTATTAGGTGTAAATCCTGTTACATGCAACCAAATCGGTTAAAATCAGCTCGAGTTATTGAAAGTTGAATGAAAAATAGGGCTTTCTGCTTGTCAGCAGCTTTTAACATGAAAATCACACCCATGTTCTTTTATTGTAATTTCCTATCATATTCTTGCTGGAGATAATTGCAACAACAAGCTTTCGAACGAGTTATTGCACGAAAATAAATGTCGAATAATGATCTACATATAATTTTCACAATGTGATAATAATGTTGAACTGATAACTCTAGTGAATATCAACCTAGAATAGTGGAAAATCATGGCACTGTAGGGGACGGGGAAGAGTGAGTACTTACTTTTGTTCAGGACTTTATATGAGCTATGGAATCATCAGAACTTTACTCGAATAGGAAAGTGCACATCGACACGATACCATTTCACACATCGAATCGAATCGACGAGCTGATGACTGAAGTCGAAAACCTCTATACTGATACATTGGAATCTGGAGATCGAACAAAAGCTATGCAACGTCTCCGTGTTCCGCCTCTCGAAGAAAGACAGTCGCCTTTAGTGACATTTCGTGTTGGAATGTTTGTCGGTAAGAATCATCAGTTCGCACAGGATTTTATACACGAGCTAACGGATGGTCCGTTAATGACGAATTTTCCAGTATTTTCACTGTAGCTTTTTTTTTCTCATTTTAGTCATAAAGTCTGATCCTGTTTTCAAAAGATGTCTCTTCCAATTCTCTACAAAATTCGATTGAATTGATTTGTATAGAAAGTGTACAAAGAAAATGACACAAAGAGTGAATAATGCTAATATATAAACAAAATTTCTTCTTAGGACAATCCATAAGTAGTGAATTTTGTAGATAAGACTCCGCAGAATAGAGTTAATCATGTTTTTGTACTACCGCGTATTTGAACTAGAAGCATCTTTGCTTTTTCATTTCGTTGATAAGTAGTAAGGAATTATTGATATCATGTCTGTGCTTAAAAGTCTAGCCACTTTTCAAATCTGCATCTTTGTTAATACTGTCTGATAAGTTCTTTGTAGAGAAGTTGTACAGCATCATTATTTTTTATCCATTTCTTGTGTCAAATTGTAGCTACGAAGAGATACTTCAATTGTAACATTTCCAATTCTAAGGCATTGAGTTTACTTATATATCACAAATCTAGGACGTGTCATCGTTATATTATGCACTGTAATCAAGGTAACAACTTTGTTTTGAATTGAAGATCATTTGAAGAAGCCTATCGACAAATTTTTTGAAACAAATGAATTGTATATAAGTAGGCATGTCTACTAGATCGAATTCCTGAAGAAGTAAAAGCATGATTAACTCTATCCTACGATGTTTAATCTGAAAAAGCTATTAAGTTTGGACTGTCCTTAGTGGTTGTGCATTTTCTACGTTTGAGAATATTTTAAATGGTTCAGAACAAATTTTAACAAAACTGAAGAAGGTTTCTAGCTCTTTGAAGTCTGCTATCTCTTGTCGTACAGTTTAAAATCCAATAGAATACAAATGGGTGTTGAAAAATTCAACTTCTATAATCAAACTCAAAATAATACACGCCTACTAATTTTTTCTGACTAAATAAGAAGACAGCTTTGGCTGAATCTTTGTAGTTTCATTTCAAGCAATGACGTACAATAATCTTTTCTCGTGAACACAAAACGTCTACGAGCTTAATATATCCCATGTTGACTTCCTCATTAGACGTTTCCTACGAGTCATAAAAATCAAGAATAAAAAAAGCCAAGTGTTTGAAAGTCATTAACTTAAAAAAACCAATCGAAATCGCGAAGACTAATGCGCAATTAGTTCAATTAATATCCATTGATAAATGTTATCAAGAAGCATAAATGCTATTTTGATTTAAACTCGATTGCACAAATATATGAGAGTAGTTTGGCAAAACAGTAGTTTCAACTTAAGAAGATTTGCCGGTTTTGAGTATTATGTATTCTTTGTTTCATTTTTATCGCACAGTTTCTTTACATATTAATTCGATTAGATTTGGACACGAATTTGATGGTGATAGTTTTGAAAAAAAAAAAGATCAGGTTTAAAGACTAACATGAAAAAGAAGTCTTAATCAAAATATTGGAAGGTTCATTATTTATAAGTCATTCATAATGTAGAACTACACTTTACTTCTCTTTTCAGGCATGTTGTGTCTTCTCATTCCGATGATATTTATTCTTAGTAACACTCTGCATAAGAGCCAATCTGGCAAACCGCTTGCTTGGCAACCAGCACTGCATCTCTATCGCTCCTCGTTTCTCATTGCACTTCACATAATTTTTGTCTCCATCAATATTTATGGTTGGTCACATTCGGGCGTTAATCATGTTCTCATATTCGAAATCGATCCACGCAATCATCTAACCTATCAACGACTACTCGAAATAGGTACATTTCTCATGGTTTTATGGTTTATCAGTTTTATCGCCTTTATCATATCATCCTATTACGATGCTCATCCTTTTGCACAACCATTGGTGTTCGTCATCTTTCTTATTATTTTACTAATCAATCCAATTCATATATTCTATTATAAATCTCGATTTTGGTTTTTAAAAAATCTCGGTCGAGTTTTCTTAGCACCATTCTATCATGTAGATTTTACGGGATTTTGGCTCGGCGATCAACTCATATCACTCGAATTGGTCTTTTTCGATCTTCAATATTTTATTTGTTTTTACATTTATGATGTTCATTGGATTCATCCGACTGAGAAACATGGTGTATTTTGTGCTGGTTGGTCACAATTTTTTCTTCAGACAGTTTTCATTCTACTTCCATCTTGGTTTCGTTTTGCACAATGTATAAGACGATATCGTGACACGAAAGCAAAATTTCCGCATTTGGCCAATGCCGGCAAGTATGCCAGCAGCTTTTTAGTTGCCATCACAAGTACTGTTCGGCGAGCAACCATTCCTCAATATCAACAACATCAAACATCGAGTCCTTTTCTTTATCTATGGTTTGTTTCATCAATGATCAGTTCAATCTATAAACTCATCTGGGATCTTAAAATGGATTATGGCTTTTTCGATAAGAATGAAGGTGAAAATAAATATTTGCGCGAACAAATCATCTATTCGTCGAAAAATTACTATTATGCTGCTATCATCGAAAATATTCTCTTTCGATTCATTTGGATCATCAATATATTTGTCTATTTTAACACATCTGCAGCCGAATACGCCGATATCATTGGTTTTGCTTTCGGTATCATTGAAGTTTCTCGACGATTTATCTGGAATTATTTTCGTTTGGAAAACGAACATTTGAATAATTGTGGCGAGTTTCGTGCTGTTCGCGATATTCCCATTCAAATGACAGTGGCAGTGGCCAGTGGATATGCGGCACGTTTAGAGAGTATTGGGTCGATATCGAATCTTGAAGATGAACGCAACGCAATACGACGTCAATCCACGATCAGCGGAGAGCAAATAACAGGAACGGACAGAAGCCGAAAATTAACAGTTTTAAATGAAGCATTTGATGCTGAGGCCACCCTTTCGACAAGTTTAACGACAGAAACAAATAGAAATCAAGCAAGGAACGTTTCATATAATCTAGAATCGTCTTCAAACACTGCATCAAGTTCTAATTCTCTGGCGGTGGCCAATCCGTATTATACTCGAACACAACCTACCTAGATGAGAGCAAACGTATTGGTAGTACTCGCAATCTTGTACTGTACGGAAGTGTGAAAACGACGTAGATTTTGGTAGCTTGAAGTGTGTTCAGTATTTTGTTCATATGCCATTAATACTTTGAGAATAAACGTATTGATAGTCCTGATTTCTTTGTCTCTCTTTTCTTTTTGATAATCGCTGTCGCATAGAATATCAAACACTGATGTATACTCACAGCGTAACCGGACAGCAATAAGAATTGTACATCTTTGAATTTTAATTTGCGATTCAAAAAAACCACCGGACACTTTCTATCAAAGATGGGCAATTTCGAACTGAAGTTGTAGTTAACTTTGGAGTTGAAGTAGAGCTGCAGTTTATCCACTTTTTTTTGGCTTCAAGTCTGATGAAAGAATCGACTCAAGTTATCTCCTTTGGAGAAACACGTTTTTTAAAAACAACCACTCCAAGTTAGGAGCAAAGCTTGTTCGACTAGGTTTTGAATATATGATTTCTGAGGTATGGTGGATGTGGTCTTTACTGATACTTACATGCACATCTACACTCACAGCCTTTTTCGAGAATTTCAATTAATTGTTAAATATGGTCGAAAACATGTCTTCATAACAACGAGTAGTCGCATAGTTCTTACATCTCCTAGAACAGTGCGTTACAATTTTAATCACTTCTATGTACTTTTTATATTTGTGCTGTACTAATACTCGAGTATGACATTTGTGTGAAATCAAATTATAGTATCCTGTGTGAATCGGTAAGGTGTTTATTTAAAGATTTGCCTTTTCTTACAAAATCAATATCATAGATACAATAAAAAGAAAAATTAATATATGAAATGTCACAATTACAGAGATGTCAAAGCCATAATCTAACAGAATTCCAAAAGTCACATGTATAGTAAAATTTTTTTAGTTCTGTATTTTGTTCGATCCATTCACATGTTATCAATTGTTCATCATTGATCTTGCGTGGTTGTCTGATGACTATAGTTGTTAATATTTTCTTCATTCTATTTAAAAGTAGTGGTAGATCAGTAATAAATGATGAATGAATATCGAGTCGTTTGATATGAGTAAACGAATGACAAAGTGCATCGATATCATTTGAATATAATACATGAAGTCTACTCTGAAAGTCATATTCAATCTTCAAATCAACAATATGAGGCCATTGATGAAGAAAAAGACGTTTGAGATTAATACCAGAGACTTTCAACCGACGCAAACAAGGCAAACTATGTAAAAATTCGATGTGTTCGTACGATGGATTTCTACTCCACTCAGGACCAATATTACATGTCAGAATTCGCGATGTATCAAGACCGATTGCGGGATCCTTGAGCGTTGTAGATAACATAGTAGTAACTTGTGACAAATACAATTCTTTGATATGAGTATAACGATATAAGAGCGGATATTTCAAATATTGATCATTAATTATTAAGCAATGAACATGAGAAAATAATGTTGGTTCTGATGCGGTTGTTTCTGATATTAGTGTTCCAAAAATTTCATGTGGTGGATAAATGATAATAGAAGAAGAATTCGAATAGAGTATTGAAGAATCGTTAGTGTTCGAGCTTCGATCAAATGTAACAAACCATTTTTTCTCTTCAAGCCAAAATTTCGTGCGAAATGAGTCAAGATTAAGTGATTGTTGTTCAAAAGCATCATAGTAGAATTGAAATTTAAATTCGAAATGTTTTACGTATTTCAACAATTGTGCCCAAGCGAAACCATTAGCCATATCAATATCAACATTATCAGCAATGACTGTCAAATAGGCAAGTCGTGGAAATGAAGAAAATAAAGTTGTCATCTCTGTCCAACTAATAGCCCACAGTTCGATCCGTAATCGTTCCAAATACAATAGATGAGGATGAGGTATACCTAATTTCAAATCTGGAGTTTCAAAACTACCATTAAGTGTATGAAGCATTGGTGCAACAGCAAGAAGACTCAATAAATCAATTGTTATGAATTCTATATGAAAATATTGAACAGAAGATATTATTGTTGAATTTGGAGGACGAATTTTCACATCATGATCGTCAAAGCCAGACATTTTGACAGAGAGACGTTGAAGTGACGACGAAAGAAAGAGTAGTTCACTCAAAGTAGCAGATGTCGTCGATGTAGGTGCTAATATATCAGAATAGCACAAATAAATCGAGAAGATCACGATAAGTGGTGGAAATCGAGTTTTGATTAAGCACCATGTATCATATTCTATATATGTCAAAGTCAGTGAACGAAGATTCGGAAATGTAATATCAATGATGTTGAATCGTGAGAAGAAAAGATCATTTTTTACAAATTTCATCACATCGTTTTCATCAAAAAGTTGCAAAGATACAATTTGAGAAGTTGAATAAAGCAATTGACTGCAGATAATATCAAACTGATTCTTGTCTATGAAATTGTCTACACAACTAAAGTTCAATTGAAAGCGAGGATAGGCTAGAGAAATCGAACGAAGACGTTTGTTGACGAAACATACAGATGAAAGAATATCAAGTGATGGAACATTGTCAAGAATTGTATAAATTAATTCAACAGGCAACAATGCAAGATAGTCCGACATACTTTGTCTAATCATATGACTGCTATTTCTCTGTTTCTTAAAGATATATATGCAGACGATCGAAAATAATAACCGTCATGTTCGCACTTCATTAAAATATTTGACGAATATATTGGTCGTCTGTTGCTTAGAAAATGCTCTTTTTCTATCTTGTTCGCAGCTATAATTTGTTAAATTCATCTTCTTAATGCTAACTGTAGATCGACAGACTAATAACAGCAAACAATATTCTACCTAAGCTATGCTTTTCATTGTAGTTAAATACCGAGTTAAAAGAAATGGGTTTCTTATTTTGTGGAACTTGCTATTGAGATAAATATCTTTTAGATTGAATCAAACAAATCGCATTGCCTAAACCGACAGTCTTTTCAATGAAAAAATGTGTCCTCGTATCCTTTTTTTCATAATCCACACGTGTTATGTGTGAGTTCTTTTATTGTTGGCCTATCATATTCATTTTCCTTCATATTGACAGACTTCAATCAAGTAGCTACGGCATGTTTTAATGCTATGAAATTCGACTGCTGCATTTATACTGTTGTTCTGTTTCTTCTTTTCAATCATATAGACATTGATGTTTTATATTCTATATGATATGTTCATACTCATGACGACGATTTCTTTTCTTTTTGACTATGTATTTTATTCCTTACATCCGTAGACACTTTCAAGAGATATAAGAGAGGCCAAAATATAACATAGCAGGACGAGGGATGAGATAATGACTCCATATAACAGGAACAGAAATATAAACATATTAGCTTGAACAGGTGGCTGACTATCGTCGATTGATATCTATCCAGAAATCAGAATGCATACAGTCACTACGCTATATATTTGATAAAAACTATATGCGAGTAAGAAAACACACTATTTAATTTCAATTGTCTGTATCACAAATCGATTCTAGCCGGAAATTTCTGATAAAATTAATTCAATTCTTCAACTGATGAATATCTTTAAATATACCAGATGTTTTAATATTAATTAGTATTAAGAAAGAGAAATTTAGATGAATATGTTGAAGAAGTGTGAAGTCAAAGTGTTGTAAACTTATCGAAATTCTGTCAGATCTATGTTTTGTTTTGCAAAAGAATAAGATTCTATGTGTCATTTAGCAAGAATTTTATTTCACAAATAAAAAAAAAGTATTCTGCAAATGATAATTGTTTCAATGCAATGAATCGACATAGATTACGAAATATCATTTATGCTAAACGAAAACATTCATCTATCAATGAGTAATAATTGTTTGTATTAGATGTTATCTTGCGAAGACGTTATCATGGAGTTGCCATTTCAAAAATGTTTAATGCACATCTTTGTTTATTAGAATCAACTAATTGAACTGGTAGACAGTTATCTAGTGAACTACTAGGTGTAACTGATTTTGTCTTTTAATACAATTACAGATAAAGATACTAACTTTGCTCTGAATGTTGATACTATCGATCAGCTATTGTAAAATTAGAAATACTGATTAATGCTGAGTATCTCTAAAATATTCTATTCTTAAATAATTTTATTCTCATGTTTTATTATCATTAATTCATATTACTCGCATATTTTATAATACTGTTATTAAAGATAAAAGTAATTGGCGTATTACTCAAATAAATGCTATATAACTTCTTCACATCATTTGTTTAGTAATAGTTGCCAATTTTTATCGAAAGAACTGCTTGATTGGTATTTAGAAATTGGATGAGGCAACTATTCTTTGAATGATCTTATATGGAAGCAAATATGGATATATCATGATGTAAATACATTTTCAATCAGTAACCATTTTGTTGCTGCTGATGGTTTGATCGTACAGAATTTATTTCGAATCAATAGTTATATGGAGGCGAATGTTGTTTTCTTTCACCAACCGATGCACAATATCAACGTAATACCAATCAATGACAAGAAAGCTATTCAAAAACTTAAAGAAAAAGCTTATGATTTAGCTAAAGTATCTTATCTACGTAAAGGATATATTTTCAAAGATCGAACGTGTCTTAGAGCATATGAACTTTAGATTTGTGCAATATCAAAATGTAATTATTCATCATATATGCAAGAACATTATTCAAATCTTCCATCTTATGTACCATTACGTGAGATGATCAATGAAAACATTGATCATTTAATTGTAATTAGTAAAAGAATAACATAAACATTTTTAGTGAATTGAGCAACTCGTTAATATCCTGTAGAGTTTTCGATTGGATAAATAGCAAATGTAACTAGTGTATATATTATTCAGAATAATTTACAAAATATGACAGATATAGTCAAAGAAGAATATTTTAGATGTATTCAATCACTAGTGAAATTATCCAAACGCATATCATGCTCAATCCATGGAAAACATTATCTACATGATTAATTTTATTGATTCCAAATATAGATTTTTTTCAGAATATATTTTCGAAAAATAATTGGAAGTGAAATTCCACAATGGGTATGAAAAGAGAATAGTAGCTGTGTGTGATCAATAATATACATATATGAGTTTGATCTCAAAGTTTAATGCTCACTACACATATATATATATACTTAGGTTATCAGCTCTATTATAAATTCTATGAACAAATAGTGGATGGAATTATGCTGTAATTAATCACTACTGATAAAATCAACTGGACTCTCAGAACCAAAACTTCATTGGAATGACAGATCGTTTTCATGCATTTTTTCGGTGTTTTGTAGAAATTACTGATTTTTAAATGATTTCATCCTATACAATATTGAACAAAAAGACGTCCCCTTGTCTCTTCTTTCGAAAGGCGAAAACCGCAGGGGTCTAGCTATCTTCGTTCAAAAGTTATAAGCGTTGGTCTTTTTTTAAAATTCCGATAATAGCAATTGTCACACAAAAATGCATATAATTCAATTAGTATGCGTGAAAATGGTGCATACTTTGTAGAGATACCCCACTTGTGTTTGTACAACGTTGCTACTGTCCAATAAGATAGTCATGTGCTGTGTCATGTGCTTTTTTTCTGTTCTCTTTTGATTAAACAGTTTTGCTTTCACTTTGAGTAGATACCTGGTCATATTTGTGTTTTGTTTAGTTATTCAATGGATATGTGTCTTTTTTTTTCTTACTAAACACATCCTAGAAAGATTTCTCTTTGTTATCTAAGTTATTTGTTGACAAACCCTAAGAGATAACTTAAAATTTCTCCACGTTTCAGTTGCATTTGCTTCGAATAACACATTTTGTCACTTGTACTGTGCTTTCGTCGAACTTTTATTTGTTATCCTTCAAAATAGAATTGAAGTAAGTAGAAAGAGAGAACACTGAAGGAACATTTTCATTTCAAGAAATTTAAAATAATCTTTCTCGTATTCTTTTTCCAATATTTTTCTGTTTTATATACGTTTCTTTCATTTCAGTATCCTTTCATTCTGTCCACTGACATGAGCTGAGTGACGATATTGGTTCTTTTTTCTAAATGACTTGAAAATTTGAAACAATAGATTATACCTTTCCAAATTCATTTGTCGTCAAAAACAATTTTCTTCTAGATTTTTTGCCTTGTCTCCTATTCAATTATGTATTTTTTGTTGTAGAGTTTTAGATCTATTCTACAAGTGAAAAATCAATGGAGATCAATGGCAAAGTTATCATATTAGGAAGTATTATTTTCGTTCTTCTCCTAGCTTGTATAACAACTTTGAGTGTTTTATATGGCAAAGAACGACGAGAAACAAAACAAATTGACGAAGGTATTAATAGTACTATAGGAAATGGAACTAGGTGCATTAGTTTTTATAAATTCATTTTTTTCTCATTCGATTGATACATCAACACCATTCAAGTATCGCTGTAAAGGAGATGCATGTTGATCGATGAAATCAGTGACTTAACGAGAATTTGACGGTGGAAAGGGAGTGAGTTTTAGGTCCATGGGCAACACTTGATTAAGCCATGAAATGAAACAGATGAGTAACTAGATGCATAATAAGAGAAACTTTTTTTTTATTTAAAGAACGACCATCTCGATCACCAAAAATAGAGGACTATTTTAACTAGCAGATAATACATGTACATGCTCTATGCAGAATACAGCGGTGCACACATATTTAAATTCTAGTCGATCTCAGACACGACCAGCAATTAGAATCGGAGTATTTATGTGCATATGCTCTGTCAAAGAAATAAGTCATAAGCATCGTCTCCTTTTTTCTATGATCGAACAGAAAGCATCAAGGGCGTTGCTTGCTCATAGTGGAAAAAGAACTGAGTTATATATGTATTGTATAGAAATTGAGTTGAAATTTATAGAACGCTAAGCGCTTCAAAATTTATTGACTATAAATTTGAAATGATACATGGATGATAATGACGTTCAAGCTTGGCGATAGGCCAGAGAACAACCGATTTCGAGATAATTTTGATGCGACTTCCACTTAATATGAATAAACACTATAAGGTGAACTCAAGTTTTATACAGATATCGTCAGTCTTAACTATGCATAATCATGAAAAAAATTCAGCAAACTTTACTAGACAAACTAACGAAGTTACAAACAAAGACAAACTACTCTTGATTAATTTCGTTCTATTTCAAATGTATCTAGCTTTGGTCACATGCAACTTAATCTCTGATCAACATCTAAATTTCTGACGTAAGTTAGAATATGAGACCAACATTTACGGCTCCTAGTTTTCGCATACACCTCAACGTGTTAGTGTGGAAAATCTGTCTCTGTCCTTGCTGAATTATTGATTCATAGCTTCGACTATCGTTTTTAATACGTTTTCTTTTTTCGATTCATCTTGCAAAAACTCTTGTATTACTGCGAGTTAATAAATAATATAAAGTGAATGTTTAGTTATTAGAAGTATTTTTCTTTGATTACTTTCTAAGTAAAGGTACATGGACATCAATTATAAATCCAATAACATACTCTCAATCAGCAATAGAAAAATTACTTAACGAAGGTGGTTATGTTATGATAAGTGCAGGACGCAATAATAAGATGCCCAGTGATCGTAATTTGAGTGACGATACTATTCAAGAACGAACTATTAATTTGACTATTGATTTGACCAATTTATATGCTTATTCATCTATGATGGGTGTCTATAATGGTGATAATGAAACAAGTTTCTTTGTTATTCTACACAATATTTCACCGAATGTGGAACGTACTGTATTTATTCAATTAGGTCACAAATATAATCAAGAGTCTATCATTTATGTTAAAAGAACTACTCCTACAATACAGCAGTTCATCTATACAACAGGTGAATTCAGTGGAAAATATGTCGAAGGACAAGGATATGAGGTACTTACTACAAATGTAACAGACGATTATAGTGAATTAAAACTATGTCCGGATAGCATCTTCAAATTTACTCTGAATTTTGATTTTGGAACTGTGATTATGGGGAAAACTCGAATAAAAACACGACAACTGATTGATCATCATACTAACTATGTACTAGCCAATCAGCAGAAACGAAACTCTTGAACATGTTCTGCAATGACTAATATGAACTAGTTTCTTTTTTTTTCTATGAATAACTAACTTGAATGTCTTCAATAAAAAACCAATGAATGAGTTTTGGATATGGATCAAATTGGAACTAAAAGCAGGTGATATCAGATATGATGGGATTTTTGAGAAAATTAACAACTTCTACTAGACGATGATTAATGGCTCGAAACAGGCAACTAATAGTTTTACAAAATTCTGACTAACGAGTAAAGGTCTCCTTCTTAAAGAGAGTTTTTGAGATAATATTTTCCCCATAGCTAAATCTTGATGCTTCGAGAAAAACATTGAAATATGTCGGGCTCCTCAGTCCTTATTCAGAAAATACTGAATTTTCCGGTACCAAAAATAGCATCAAGCTATATGAGAACTTTACTCGATAAAATCTGCTATCGACAAACTCGAGTATGAAGTTTCCACACGGTCCATTCAAAATATCAGCAGATTCATATATCTAGTACACATATGTAGGATGTGATGTGTAGGTTGCTATCCGTTCTTCCTACCAATACCTACATCCACATTGTCATCCCAGACATATAT